AACATAGCAAAATCTGTTTAGCGTGGGACAACTGTTCTCCCTCAATATTTATAATAGAATTTTCAAAATTTCACAACGCATAGGTAAGAACTTTATCTGTGTAATAGCGTCATTATTTTTTTTGATAACATAAATATAATTTAAGTTATAAGCTTAAGAAAATACATTTATTTTTTCATTAAATTACTTTAAATTATTGGTTTGTGCTATCAAAAAAATAACGATGCTATGACACAATTAAAGTTCTTACCTATGTGTTGTGAAATTTTGAAAATTCTTTTATAAATATTGAGGTAGAACAGTTGTCCCGCACTAAACAGATTTTGCTATGTTATACGTTTGTAAGACAGAGACAACACATGCGGGTATGGCGTCCTCTTAATGATTTATCTAGTTTATACATTTAACTGAATGCCTCTCATACAAAACAGATAGACAGAAGCAGGCATCTCAAACATCCTGTCAGAATAATAACCTTTATTACTAAGTCCAACCTTATCAATAGTATTTAAGATGTAAATTATATAACTTCTAAATAATTTAGATTTAAACCCATTGTTGCCAATGGCCATAGTTGCCGAGGCTTAATTCTAAATAAAAAAAAAGTTTATACATTTTTTTTTCAAACACTCCCCATTATGAAATCCTGCACACAGGCCTGATATGTATAAATATTATTTTTTTTTTTGCATATAAATGTTTATAATTAATTTAAAATGTTTCTTCTACTTATGTGAACATTATTTCATTATTGAAAATAGGGGCTTTAAGTTTTGAGTTAACATGTTTCTAAAAGAGAACTGGTTTTTAACCCATAATTATATGCAACTAATTATAGAAAATTAATAGTACTTTTTTTTAAAGTAATGAAGGGTCTTTTACTAAATCTTTTTTCAATCATTAGTGGATGTTTTGTATGTACTCAAGTATGAATTCATGTATTATCTTACTAAATAAATCATTATACCTTTATTATGTATCCATTTGGATTATTTAATCCTAAGTTATTTAATGTAATATTGTATAAAAATGGTGTTCCCAATGTCCGACGACTAACAAAAGCAATTGCATAGGAATAATATTCTCTCTCTTTTGGTTCAATTGGTTTGGACCATATCTCAATTCCTTGATCCTGAAAAACATTGATTATTTTTAAATGATATGATATGATGTTGTTTGTTTGATATAAAATTAATCATAAATTCATAACAATTATATCAACTGTTAAGTATTTAATCTTTTTCATATTTTGTTCATAGTACATTCCATCATTAATAAATATTTAAAATTATACACAACTTTATAGATCCTTTTGCCTTGTATGCCAAGTTTATCTTGATTTACTCCAATTACTTCGGTATTTTGTAATATTTTCTTGAAGTTTGGTTGGACAGTAGACAATTTATTTGACATAAATAAAGGTGCAGCTAATATAGCCCATAGAGCCATTTGTGTTTGGCTTTGATCGTGACTTAATGCAAAATTTCCAATCAATAACTTTAAAAAAAATCTGTACTAGTATTTTTATTGCTTGAGAATTTGAGTCAAACTGTTTAAAAATATTACCATATCAGGGTCGTTCCAATGTCCTGGACCTGCATATTGTGCCCAAATATCTTGTTTCATTGCAAAAGTATCAAGCACATCAAATAAGGAAGCATATGATTCTTGTATATCGCCATAATTTCTCCATAAATTACACGATTGAGATACCAGTGTATAGTTAACCTATTTTGACAGAAATAAAGTAATTAATTTAATTTTAAATGACATTTACAATATGCCATATTATTTGTTTCATTCAATATCAGTGCATTTTGTGATATAATCCGGTTAACGGTTCAACCAATTATTGAATATTAGATAGTGACCATCTATATTCATCTAAACTGTTTCATTCTTATTAGTTAATGGATCTGTGTTTGCCTGTATACCAGTCCATCTAAAACTGGTAAACCAAATTGTGTAGTTTAAGCACCAATAGTAAATATAGATACTTACATTTATTATTGGCAAAGTTAACCTCAATATTAAAAAAAACTCCCTTAAAGAAATCATCTGGTTACGATCTAACAGCTGCCGAAATAATTAGGAACCTACCTAAGAAATCTATCATATTCTTAACACAAATCTACAATGCAATGTTTAGGCTATCCTATTTCCCTATTCTTTGGAAATATTCTACCATAATACTTTTATTAAAACAAAAAAAACCCCAGACTCTCCAACTTCGTATAAACCAATCAGTCTTTTTCCAAGATATTTGAAAAGTTGCTACTTAAACATATCTTACCTATTGTTGACGATACCAAAATCTTACCAAACTCGGCTTTGCAATCAACCACTCCACCACACATTAAGTCCACACACTAGTAGAAAAAAATCTCCTCTGCTCTAGAAGAAAAACTATTTCACTGGTGCATCTCTTAATGTCTCCCAAGCCTTTGATCGGGTCTTGCATGTAGGTCTTTTATATAAACTTAAAATACTTCTCCTTAGTCATTACTATATAATCCTTAAACCCTATTTAGAAAACTGGCTCTTCTCTGCGGGAGTAGGTTCTACCTGTTCTGTTCATACATTAATCAATGCAGGCGTATAAGGTGCAGTTATAGCTCCCATTCTATTCAACTTGTATATATCTGATCAACCTTCTTTACCCCATACTCTTGTTTGTGACTTTGCCGATGTTAAAGCTATATTAACCTCTAATCTTGACCCTCACCTAGCCTCCAGCTATGTTCAAGACCACCTTCACCTTCTCCAAGTTTAGTACAATATATGGGAAGTTAAAATGTATAAATTCAAATCGATTCATTGTACTTTTACACTACAACAGGGAGTATGCCATGCCCTCCTCCTCAACAACAAATCCCTTCCTATTGCCTAGGGCGTACGCTACCGTAGAGTTGACATTGATCGCCGACTTTCCTGGTCAGCTCACATATACAGTAAAACTCGAACACTTAATGATCGCTTTTGCCTTCTTCGACTATTCTTAACTTCCAAAAATAAAAAACTACCTACTAAATTTCTGCTGTATAAACTACTATACTTAGATCCATCTGATCCTACGGTTTACAGCTGTGGGGTTCAGCTAAAGTATTTAATAAACCGTATCCAAAGATTTCAATCCAAAGTCCTTGAGGTCATCTCTAAAGCTCCATACTATGTCACCAATAATACCTTCACTCTGACTTCTTTATTACTTATAAGTTATAACTAGGGCTAGGATTTATATGCAATAAAAAATTGTAAAATATGCATTTTATTTACCAAAATATGCAAAAACAAATTTTTTTTATTATTTATTATAATTCATAATTTTTTATTACTTATTAGCTCATATTATTACATTGAATATTAGTTTAATTAGACGTAACTTGGCACTTTCACTTTGAACTTTCGGCATACTGGACACTGTTATTAAAACCATTCAAATTATTAAGTATAAACATCTACACATTTACGCAACACGCGACGTACCAATACATTTTTTCTGTGCTATCTCACTGTATAACAATGTGTAAGTAATTCTACCAGTTGTCCGACCAACAATAAGGTAACAAACGGATATTATCTGACCTAAGATAAAATAGGTAGTATTTATGCTATATATTTACGAAAATTCAATGGATAAACCAAAAACTGTCGGTTTCGTGAAGTACCATTTAAAATTAACAATAACTTATAAAAATTAAAAATGTTAATTAAAAAATATCGAATTCTAAAAAAATCTATGAATATGCAATTATATATGCATTATGTTCAAAATATGCAAAAATATGCAAAAAAAAATTGGTCCTATTTAAACGAGAATAAGCCAAATCGTGGACAAATCTGACAACCAATCAATTTGGACTAAAGGAAAAAAACATGCAAATGCATATAAATCCTAGCCCTAGTTATAACAATTATGTATTTGTTGTTGTACTATTATTATTATTTCTAGGATTAAAATCTTAAATTCATATTCAAGTTGAAGTACCTCCCATTAGGCTTCTACACTCGGTTTTCTTCTGTCTTTTATCACTTAAGATTATTGTTCAATAATTGCAACAGATGTCGTATTATAACATTTTGTAAATTTTTATTAAAAAAAGCATTTATTATATTTTTAGCTCAAAATGATTTAACTACATACCTGCATTCCTTTACCTTCTTGATAAAATGGCCAACAACAAGAGTAAATCATCGGTCTTCCTGTTTCATTTAAATATTTTCCAAACTGTGGAAAATCTATTAAAATTATTAGGTATATGAATTAAATTTATTTTTCATAAAAGTAACTTTATCTGTAATTATTATTACAGATTTTAATGATTTAATTACTCTAAGCATAAAATTACTTGTGTCCATATTCCGTTCATCTGTGTAGCATCCATCTAGTTTCACATAATCAACTCCCCATTCTGCAAATGTCTCAGCATCAATTTTTTCGTAACCTTTAATTCCAGCATATCCTTCACAAGATTTTGTTCCAACACTTTCATAAATTCCAAATTTTAACCCTTTTGAATGAACCTAAATATATAAAAATTACCTATATCAATATTTTAGTAAAAATACATTTGTATTTGCGGAAAGAGTATATAAGGTATTTTGTTTGTATAATTTTAATTTAAAATTAATTTACTAGTTCATTTTGAATAGTTTATAAAGTTATATATAATTAAAGTTTCAACTTTATTATGTATATTTTTTTTCTGTTGCATGGAATTAATTTTATTCTTTTGGAACATTTCATACTCATTAAAAATTGTTACTTAATACATAATAATTATTATTTTTCCATTTTTATTTTAAGTAAAGTTGTTATTTAAAAAAAATATGTTGTTGTATTCTAATTTATAAAGATACATAATAGGTGTTTAAGGTTTTTATTAAAGGTATTTAGGTTGTATTATATGATATATTTTTCAATCAATTATAAATAATCTAAACATCTATGCAGGTACTAAAAATGCATTATCAAATAATAATATAACATTCTGCTTTTATAGTTTCTATGAGAATACTAATAGTTTATTTACTCACATAATCAGCAAGAGCTTTAATCCCATGTGGAAATCGATTTTCATCAGCTTGTAATTTCCCATCTGCTGTTCGATTGTGTGTCATCCAACAATCATCAATTACAACATATTTGTACCCAACTTTATCATAGCCTTCACTTACTAACAAATCAGCTGTAGTCTTAAACAATTGTTCACTATTTAAGAAACATTTTTCATAATGATTGTGTGTTTAATATGTATTTAACTTTAACTTTAAATTTAAATTTTACCTGACACATTCATCTGGAAAAGTATCACAATCTATAGTACACCTAAATCTTTGCCAAGCAAGCCAACCCATTGGTGGTGTTAAAGCTAATCCATTATTAAGTGCCAATGTAATTTTGCAGGCAACTAGTACACACAACCATACACTAGTTGTAGTCTTCCACGACAACATTTTTAATCAAAATAATAACTGCAAGTATTTAATTCACCTAATGATTATTGTACTAATAATAAAATAAATAATTTAAAAAAATTTAAAATTATAGTCAAATCAACTTAAAGTTTAATATTTTAACTCTAATGCTCTTAGTTTTTAGTCTGAATATCAGACAACCTCTGAGATAACCTTATGATAGTTATGACTTATGAATATATAGATAACGAACCATTGTTTGTGTTTTCATGGTATACTAGTTATATGTGTTTAAACAAAACTAAACTAATGAATATTAGTTATTACAGTTTTAGTCAGAAATTTACAAATCATTACCTTCAAGCATAATTTAAAGCCTTGTTAAAAATGGAACAATTTGAAAAAATAAAAAGTTAAACAATTTGATAAAAATTATACTTTTAGAAGATTAACTTAACCTACATTTTTATTTTATTATTTTATTATTTTATTATTTGAACTTGGTGATATTTATATGAATATTAAAATTAATTTAGTTGAGAGGGATTTGGAGAGAATCAAATTACTTATTTCATACAGAAAACATAAATTCTTTAGATTCAATAAACACCAACTATCTAAATTGAATCCCATAAAAACTTTGCTTCTACAGCCTATATTGTTGCCTTATTATGTTAGCTATACTCTAAAATGATTTTTTTCTTTATTCAGGTTTCACTTTAGTTTGTATATATTTAATATAATATATTATGTTTGCATGTTTAATAAAATATCTGAGGTTTCAACATTTTTAGTTAATGCTGCTATTCTAAATCATATTTATATAACCTTGACTGTTTTAACAATGTGTTGGTCTCTATTTTATATGACCTTAAAAATTAATATTCTTATCATAGTAAACATAGTGTTGTTGTTTTTTCAATAAAAATATTGGAATTTGTATTTTTTATCGAATTATTTGGTTTTGTGCTCAATGTGTTTTTAACTTAATTTTATGGGCAAGATGTAATAGAGTAATAGAATTAATTTTAGTAATTTTTTTTAGTAGGCAGAATTTAAGTATACGTAGTATTCTATTTTTCCCTATTTTTTTAAAATTTTAACATGGTTTATAATACATTTTCTTTGGCTATATTGATCATGGCAAATTTTTAGCAATAATTTAATCAAATTTCTGTAAGCTAAATATTTTAGAGTTATTTTAAGATAATACAATTAAGTTGGCCCAATTTCATTTTTATTAATATTATTATAATATTATATTTGAAAGTATATTGAACATTATGTGAGCACCTAATTATTTAAAAAAAACAATACTCATAATTTTTTTAATAATAGCATAATTATATTGTTATTTTCTAAAAARAGATTATGTATCAATTATTATTTTTATAAAAAATCTTAAAATTAATACTTTTTGTATATTTTTAAATAATATTGAAGATAACCTAATTGAATATTAATGTCTTAAAATTTTTTTTATGTGAGTCCATTGTTCATAAATATGTGCTCTTAATGCTGTATAGATATATAGTATAACATATTAGTATTTAATTTGTGTAATTTTATGGTGATAAATATTATATATTATTATACATTATAAATATTATATATATATAAATATTTCATTTATATAACATAATAGATACGATACATAGATATATTTTTTAATAATACCTATTCCTATTTTAGAACTCAAGATGAAATATCACAATTATGTCGGGGTACGATTAGTTTGAATGGGGCTACAATACACACTGAAGATTCATGCACAATTGTTATATCTAATGGTGGCACTCAAACATTTCACCTTCGTGCCACTAGTGAAGTTGAACGTCAAAGATGGGTTACTGAATTAGAGTTGGCAAAGGCTCGTGAAATTGGACATACAAATACTGGTAAACGTTTAACATTAAAATATATTTTTAATTAAAAACTTTTTTACTTCTCACTTATTAACTTTTTCTTCTATTATTTAATAGCGCATCTATTTAATAATAGTTACACTAACTTCAATAACTAATTGCTATGTAGAATAATGAGCTATTTAACTTAATAACCTTGCATATTCTTACAATTTGTTCACTGTAATGTAATAATACATATATTCAAATTGTTCATAAATTATATTAATGTAACTATTTTTAGATAGAAGCAAGGAAAAAGAATTGAGTGCAAATTTAGAAGTTTCATCAGTAGTATCATCGTTAAACACCAAATTATCTGAATTGCGATCACAAAGTGAAATTATATCTAAACATAGCAAAGCTCTTCAACGTTGTTTAACTGAACTAGAAACCATTGATATACCTCCTGATATCTCTACAAAAATAAAAGCATGGATGGAACGTGCAAATTTGATACGTATTGCATCAGTTGGTATGGTAACTGTAAGTATTCAAATATGATAAGAAATTCATAGTTAAATTGTTCACAATTTATTTAAGTTAAATAAAAGGAAACATTATTTGTATGGTGTGTTGGTCTCTCTTATGGACAGAAGTGTTACTCTATTCAATTTATAATTTACTTTTCTCTCATAATTTTGAGAAAAGTTCGTTTGGATTTTATGTCAATGCAAAGTGTATTTGAGTTCTATTTCTGAATACTATTGTAATGTTCTTGGCTTATTGTTTCCAATTTAATTTAAACATATACAGTTAGACTCAATATAACAACAACAATTTTAATATCCTACCTTTCATGTTTTTAATTGAATGTAGTAATATAATCAATGGCCTAACTTCAAAATTTAGGGCATATGGTTTTAATGTATTCAAGATATCTTAGAATGATTCATACTTTTGCCGAAATTATTTTATAGACATAGTTTAATATTCTATCTATTAACTCTTAGTAAATAATAACATAGGATAAAGTTTTTATTTATTAAAAATATTTTTCCTATTTTATATTTATCAAAAAAATTAATAAAAGAATTAAAGAATTTTAAATGATTCTGAGTGAAGATGGGTAGATCAGCATTTATTTCTAAGGATGGTTGATATTATTTTATTAGTATTTTCTTAATTTGTTATATTTAACTAATTTTTTCCATCAATTTTGTATATGACATAAGTCAATACTRTAGTAAAGTTTATATAGCATATACTTAAGTTAGAATAATATTAAATATTTAAAAATGTGAACTATATTCAAAAATAATAATATATAATATAATATAATGATAAAAAGTTTCAAATTCCTGAGATTTATATTTTTTTTTTAATTTAACAAAAAAAACAAAGCACATTAAAAATTGTCCTAGAAAAAATTATTATTTTTCATTTAGTTTTTTCATTTTCAAATAAAATAATTTAAAAAGAGAGGAAAGATTCATCAGTGGGTGGCTTCTTTCAAAATTTTCAATTTTCCTTTTGTCAATTAGCTTATTCTCTTATTATGCTGATTGTGTACAGATTGTGTATTTTATTAATAAAGAAGAAAAAAAAGAAAGTTTTTTAATTTTGAACTTCAAATGCTCTTATGATATTCTTATCAAATTTATTCTTATGCATACTGAACCTTGTATTTACTTTTTGAGGATTTTTGATCCATAATCAAAAATTAAATAAATATAAATCGAACAAGAAAAACTAAAAAATACTTTTAAAATGTATATAAATAGCATAAAATTAAGCTTTATATTTAAAAAATTATATTATATTATCTAAAAAATGCTGTCAAAAATATATAGTGAACATTTTAATTTTATAAGTATTTCTATCTGAATTACAACAAAATAACAAAATCGGTTTTGTCAAATTTCAATTTCTTATTGTGATTCCCTCCAAAGTATTTACTAGATTAATTAAATTTGTTATAAAACTTTTTTGAAGGTTAAATATTGAACCAAATTTCCAAAGTGACATGTATAAATTCAATTTTATAAAAATTTAAATGTATTTATAATATTTTTGAATGTTAGTGATAAATTATCATGTACATAAAATATAGTTTTTTTATAATAATTATATTTTACTTAAAAGTTAAAAAAAAATATTATGTATTTCAGAATTGTTCGGAGTATTTAGATTTGGCTCAAAGTCAGGGTAATAAATGGCAAAAGATGTTATATAATGAACGGCGACAGCGTATACAGTTGGTAGAAATGGTGGATCAAATTGCTAGAGAACAGAGTGTTTTGGAGCATGTTGCTAATAATGACAAACAAGGTAATTAAGTATTAATAAAATATTTACCAGTACAAATTAAGATATTTTATATTATATTTACATACAGATGTTGAGATGTATACATTTTAGTATCATATTTGACTATGGTAAAATTAAAACTAAATATATAATAATTTAAACCATTAATTACATTTATGTGATTATATAAAATAATATAATCTTATGTTTATAAATCAATAACATCATGAACTTGTATGAGTTAATTGAAGACCCAATAAAAGTTTATTAATTTACTATTTTATGCGTCACCCCGCGCATCACTAATATTTTTAGAATTTTTTATTTATGACACTATTTGTTTCTTACATCCATATTATATGATACAAAGATGGATTGAATTTAAGTGCAAATTATTATTTTAATAATTAAATATATATTAAAATAATAAAATTGTATTTTTTATGGTAAAATTAAGTAGATTGGTTACTGAATCATTATTTWAAAAAAAATTGAATTTTTTGTGTACAATTAGAATTAAAATGAGAGATCTAAGTTTTACATTAGTTTTACATCTTTAAACTATATTCTCTGTGTAAAAACTTTTTTTGGTGATCAACCACAATCAGAATCATTAAAATATTATATTTGGTGTAAAGTTGTAAAATTAACCCAAACTTTTAGTTAACAATAGAAATATAATTGGTAGGTATATAATAGATAATTATTAATGACATAGTATGATTAATCGTTATTATTATTATTATTAATATAATTATTTGAATCTTGATAACATTTATTTTTTAATTACCAAGTTATTAAAAATTATTAACAATTCAAATCTAGGATAAAATATTAATAATTCTATATCAATGTTTAGATTAATATTAAATAAGAAAGAAATACTTTTACCAAATTTATTTATTACAGTATAATAAAAATAAATGCTTGAATAGTTGGAATTATTTAAAATATAAATCAATAATATTTCCTACGTTTTACTAATAATATTTTATGATTTATAATCATTATTCATTATGTTATCACTGAAATAATAAGAAACATATTTTGTACCAATATTACATATAAATACTAATTACATATATTAAATTAATATATGATAATACTAGAGATCAAATTACCTTTATTTATACATATTGTTCTCAGTTTGATATTCTTTGGTATAACAAAAGACAAAAATTATATTAAGTTAATTAATTATTCCTACCTTGAATATTTTTATCAATTCCATTTTACTTTATAATTATTATATTATTTTATTTGTTTATAATAATGATTCAAAGGTTATATTTACATAACATGTTTTATTTTTTATGCATTATGATAAATGATAACCTATTTATAATTATGAAAAAWATTATTAGTAAAATAAATAATTGTAGATACCATAGTATATTTATATTTTCAACTTAAATCTATGTAATTATATTATTCCTGAGTAATTGTGATATAAATTGTGTATGGTGAACCTGTGCATATAATTCTTATACTATTATAGGTTAAGCTTATGTTAGCTTTATTTATACTTTACTTTTCCATATATTTTTTTAAACTTATTCAACTATATTTAATTTTTTATTATAATTATATTGAAAAGGTTAGTGTTAATAATATATTCTATATATTTTTTTGATTTATGCATTAGAATATACAATAAAATTACAGTGATGTATAATTACCTATATTCATTATGTATTATTATACATTATTGTAATCAGTTTCTTATTTAATATTTGAATACTGTGTTATTGTAATTTTTACATTTTATTAGATGATTCTACCGATGAAGATGATGCTTCAGACAATTGTGAATTTTTTGATGCTCAAGGTGGTGATTCCTTTGATGTAACCACAAATAATTACCTAGTTAACTGTCAGTCTCAAAATATTATCCAACATAAAACTCTTTCAAGCTCACAGGTATTTTTGTAGAACATATTAAAATTATAATTATTCTTAACTAAAGTAAAAATTATTTAAGGTTCTTGAAAAATTAGTCAATGAAGAATTAGATTGTAGTGGTGGATCTAGTAGTGATATTGATGATCCTGTTGAGTCATCAGCTATATTAACAGCTGCAATTCGTTCATCAACTGGTTTAAATACTGATCGTGTATGTTTATATATTATATCAACAATATTATTGTATAAATCTAAAATTATATTATTGTCATTATTAATTGTTTTTAGGATGAAAATAATAAATCTTCTAGGATGTTTCCTCAACTCTCTGAGCATGCAAAAAAAATACTAGAGGACGCGATTAAACATCCTTTAAAACAAAAAGATAAACGTAGATGTAGAGTGACTGACAAGCCAAATCACCCATTACATATTTGGAGTATTTTGAAAAATTGCATTGGAAAAGATTTGTCTAAAATACCAATGCCGGTAATGTAAATTTATTATATTGATCAAATTTTTAGTTTTACATATTGTAATTTTTGTTACAGGTAAATTTTTCTGAACCGCTTTCAATGTTACAAAGAATTACTGAGGATTTTGAATATTCAAATATTCTAGATACAGCAGCTCAATGTAAGGATTCATTTGAGCAGATGGCATATATTGCTGCGTTCACGATTTCATCTTATTCAACAACTGTCAATCGAACAAGTAAACCTTTTAATCCATTGCTGGGTGAAACATATGAATGTGATCGAATGTCAGACCTTGGTTGGAAAGCATTTAACGAACAAGTAAAAATGCTATTTGTGAATTATTTATATATAACGGTTTAATTTATAATTTTAATATAGGTTTCACATCATCCTCCAATTTCTGCTCAGTATTGTTCGGGTAAGGAATGGTCTTGTTGGCAAGAATTTTCAATGTCTTCGAAATTCCGCGGTAAATACTTACAAGCAATTCCTAATGGCATTGCTCATCTTGACTTCCCGGCATCTGGTTAGTTGTGAATATTCAGTTTATTTAAAATCAAATGTAAACTAATTAGTTATAGATAATAAGTTTTCATGAGTGTTTTTTTTTGTAGGGAATCATTATACTTGGACTAAAGTCACAACTACTGTTCATAATATAATTGTTGGAAAACTGTGGGTTGATCAAACAGGTGATATGACAATAACTAATCATAAAGATGGTTCTAAATGCCGTTTGAGTTATATACCCTATAGTTATTTCACTAGGGATCAACAAAGAAAGGTGTGTTAAAAATGTTAATAATCAATATTATTTTAATTGCATAATTATTATTATAAATGTATAATTGTAATTTATATAATTTTTGAATTTAGGTAAAAGGATATGTTATGGATAAAGATAATGAAATTAAATGGGTTATAAATGGTACRTGGGACAATAAAGTTGAAATAGCTCCTGTTACCAAATTTGAAGGTCCTATTGAAAGTCCTACGTGTCAAACTGGAAGTTATATTCTGGCCTGGCAAAGACAAGCACCTCCGTAAGTTTTGTATAATACAAAAACATATGTAAATTATGTAGTCATGATTTTTCATTTTATTATTATTGACATATACAAAGACCTGACAATGAAAAATACTATTATTTCACTGTGCTGGCAAGTCAATTGAATGAAATGGAAGAAGGTGTAGCACCAACAGATTCAAGGTTACGTCCAGATCAACGTTTAATGGAGTTTGGTCTTTGGGATGAAGCTAATATTGAGAAATTGAGGTTAGAGGAAATTCAGAGAGTCAGAAACCGCAAAGCAAATACCGAAGTAGCAGATTCTAATCAAGTCAATGAAAATGGTAAAATATTCAAATACTATTCTGAATATTTCTTAAACATGAAATTAATGATTAGTTAGGTTGTAAAGAATATTATAAATTCTTATAGAATACTACACATAGTAGTCCTTCTAAGAAATATACATTAATATCAACATTTTTTTGCATAGAYWATTAATATAAATGTATTGAAAATAATTGTTAATATTCATCAACAAAAAATATTTAAAAAAAATGCTCTTATGTTATTTGCTATGCATAGTTTTGAGCAAATTTCTGATTAATAGTTTATTGCTATAGTGATATCAGCTTCTATATTCATAATTGCTAATACAGATAGTCTTTCTTTTCCTTTTTTGGTCTTTCAGTATAATTTTATGGGTTTTAGAGTTGAAAATGGTCTCTTTATTAAACAGTTACTAATTGGAGTGCATAATAATATTTTTAAAGCAATATTCACATAAAGGAAAATATCTGAATGTTTTTTTTTTATATATATAAACACTGAAATCTATTGTATACTTAAAAGAGAATGGGAAACTTAAGTCCTTAAATCTAAATTGTATTTATTTCTTCAAAACTTAGTAGGTACGATTGTATGTTTGCTTCTGTAATTTTAGTTAATTTAAAAAAAAAATTAATAATTATATAATGAACCTATATTTAAACCATGTGGGTATGTTGTCATCTTAAAGAGACCAGGATATAATATTTATAATTTTATTTTATAGAAGATGAAGATGATGATACAGTTCAAGAAAATGATAACAGTGCTATCAAACCATTATGGTTTAAACGAGATGTGTGTAAATGGACAAAAAAGCCATGTTTTACTTTTACCCATGAATATTGGGAGTGCAAACAGAAAGGAGACTGGAGCAGATGTCCATCTTTATTTTAAATACATGTGATAATTTGTTTATTTTATTAAGCTTAAGCAACATTATATGTGGCCATATGATGTTGTAAACTTAGATTTATTGTGAACAGAAGTATCTTAGAATTTAAGTATACCACCAAAAATTCCAAAATGCTCGGCAAATCTTTTCAAGTTCATATTATCTCCTTAACTATTTTATGACTTATAGCTTTAAGTATTTTTTCCACAATTTGAACTCTGAATCTATCGCACCGCATACATTTTGTAGACGAAATTAGCCTAGGGACAAGATTTCAGTTTATACATTTTCAAATCATTGTTTTAACCTCTTTTTTTTTCTTTTATATGTTTTGTTTGTTACCTAAGTTATTTACAACTTAGTTCTTGTATTATTTTTAATTTATTTTTGTCAATTTACTTCCAATTATTTCTGTTTCTTTTATTCAATCATGGTACAATTAAAAGGTTATATTAAAATTTTTCCTCTTAAAGATATAGTAATATTTTAATTATTTAAATGATAAAAACTGTGTAAGATTATCAAATTTTTAAAATATGTATCTTTAAAATACATTTTTTAATGTGTTTAAAAAAAAATTGAATACTACGCGTACATAAATTGTCATTAGATGTATTTTTAAAGCTAAGTATCAACACTATCAATTTAAAAAAAATTGAGTATAAAAGTTTATATTTTGAAGAAAAAAAAAAAAAAATTGTTGATAAAAATTATTTTGAAAGGTGATAACAAATAACAATAATTATTTTTTGTAACTCAATCAGTTATTAATAATTATTATATCTATTAATGTTTCTATACATTTATTTTGAATTTATTGTTTACACTAAAATAACAAAAATAGGGTTAACTTAAGAAGTTAAATAGATATTGTTTAAAAATGTTTTTATAAAAAAAGTTTTTTAAATTGACAATAACTTGTCTGATTATAAGTTATAATTCATCAACAAGGATGTTATGTGTGCGAATCACTGTTTAGCTCTAAATTATGTAATTAATTTTTATGAGTGGCATAATAATCAACGTAGTTTTTAGGTGTTTTGTTTATAAGCATTAGGAAAAAACCGGAATAAAAAAAAAAAATAATTATCTTATTTGACAAGTATTTTTAATTTATAGCATTCCATTGATATACCTAGTTGTATTTTTTTTTTTTAGAAATCTATTCAAAATTTTATTTTTGTTAAAGAATTCTCATATATTTATTATTTTATTTTATCTTGTTAGGCATACATAAAAACATTGGTGCTTATGTATTGGCTCCAGTTCTCATTTTCATACATTAAATTCATCTATATGCTCGTTATAAAAATTTATTATCCAGATATTGTTTGTTATACTAAGGTTGGCATGTGTAAAGCATAGGTCTATATTATATATATATTTTGTTTTTGTTTTGTTTTGTTGAAATGTTCATACAACTTGTATGACTAACTAGAATTCATGATTATTTTTGTTTAATTTTTAATTTTAAATTCGATTTGCAACTGTTCTCTTCATCTAGTTATTAATAGTTA